GGGGGGGGGGGGTGAAAGTTACTCCGCTTGGAAAATTCAACGTTTCTGAACAGGGAAAGGTGTAGAATAGTACTTCATATCATACATGTACGTATAGCATACGTTACAACTATGATTGTTAATAACTTTTTAACGAAGGACGAGCGACAGCTAAAACCTGTTGAGGGTTACTCAGGGTCATGACTTTGACAACATATGTCAAGGTCAAAGTCATTGGAGGGAGGTCCCCTGATTGAGACATTTACTATTTTAAAACTATAATTGTTAATAACTTTTTAACGAAGGGCGAGCGACGGCTAGTTGTTAAGGCAAAGTTACTTAGAATCATGACCTTGATAACATATGTCAAGGTCAAAGTCATTGGAGGGGGGTCCCCTCATCGACACATTTACCTAGATAATTTATTAAAATGTTGAATATGCATTCTAGTATATCTGAAAAACATATCTTCGTCATTTTTTAAATGTTGAAAAAGATTATCGTATTCTCCGTACTGTTTTCTTTGTTGATTAATTGGCCTCACAAGCCATTTTTTATTTTGTCATCTTTTATTAGTATATTTTAATCTCTGTTTCAATCTTTTATAATAAATCGAGGGTAACAATAAAAGTAAAATTTTTAGCCTCTGGGGGATTTTGTCACTGCCATGTTAGATGAAAAACTAGAAAAAGAGAATTACTTAGAAAAACATATATATCTAACCGATACCGTAAAATATTATAAATATACAGAAATATTATATATATTATATTGTAAATTTATTTTATACAAAGAATGTCAGATAGAGGTTATAATAGAATTTTCGTTGCTTTCATATACTTTTACATCTTTAATACGCAATAGGCACCTTTTTCTTATAGTAAATTTACAAAAACATTAGAAATATCGTTTTATTTAATTAATACAATTGGTTATAATTTGATCTTGATCGGACTTACCACCTATCACTGCTCGTAAGGCTGGAGTCACATGGAGCGGAAATTACAGCGGAACGGAACAGTGAATCCAATCAGAACTCTACAATCATTCCGCTGCTTTACTTTCTGCGATTGTGATTGGTCTCGCTGTTCCGTTCCGCTGTAGATTTCCGCTCAATGTGACTCCAGCTTAAGGGCGGGTTCACACCTTGACGGAAAAACGGAAAGCGGAAAAGCAGTAGCCAATCAGGTAGTCGACTTTCTGTTAGTTTTGTACTATTTACTACCAGGGCGAGTTCTGATAGGTTAACTGCTCTTCCGCTTTCCGCTTTTCCGTCAAGGTGTGAACCCGCCCTAAGGGTACAAACCCATGCAGCGGAATAGCGTAACGCGGAACGAGAGTAGAACCAATCACGAGATTCTCTAAAAACACGGAATGCTCGTTATTGGCTCTGCTCTCGTTCCGCGTTACGCTATTCCGCTCAGGGGCGTCGACTTGAGATTTGACCATGTGTGGAAGTAGGAGTTGGGGTGGGCGAAGTGACAACCAAAAAAAAAAA